ATATCAAAGATATTGTCCGATGATTTCTGCATTATATTTCACCTCTCTTTGGAATGGACACAAATACGGATCTCTTCCAATCAGTCAGTCAGATAGTTGTCTTCCAAATTTCTTGGCACAGATGAGTGAGTGCCTCCATTGCTGCCTCACTTTCTTGAAAGATTTCAATTTTTGTTCCATCAATTCCTGGTGCCTTGCTCTTTGCCAGTTCTTTCAATGCACCTTGGACTTCTTCCTTCAGTATCAGTGGCTCTTGATCATATGCTACCTCTTGAAACGGTTGAACATAAACCATTTCCTTTTGGTACAGTGACTCTGTGTACTCCTTCCATCTTCTTTTGATGCTTTCTGCATCACTCAATAATTTACCCAGGGAATCTTTCAGTAATGAAAGTGTAGGCTTGAATTTTTTCTTTAGTTCCTCCAGCTTGAGAAATGCTGAGCATGTTCTTCCTTTCTGGTTTTCTGACCCCAGATCTTTGCACATTTCGTTGTAATATTTGACTTTGTCTTCTCCAGCTGATCTTTGAAATTTTCTCTTCAGCTCTTGGACCTTGTAATTTCTTTAATTTGCTCTAGCATCTCTACTCTGGAGAGCAAGTTTCAGTGTCTCTTCTGACATCCATTTTGACCTTTTCCTTCTTTCTTATCTTCTTAAGGACATTTGCTTTCTTCTTGTATGATGATCTTGATATCATCCCACAACTCTTCTGGTCTTTGGTCTTTAGTGTTTAATGTACCAAATCTATTCTTCAGATGATGTCTAAATTCAGGTGGGGTATATTCAAGGTCTTATTTTGGCTCTCATGGACTTGTTTTCATTTTCTTCAGCTTCAATCTGAATTTGCATAAGAAAAATTGATACTCTGTTCCACATCTGCCCCGGCCTTGTTTTGGATGATGATATGGAGCTTTTCCACTGTCTCTTTCCACAGATGTATTCTATTTGGTTTCTGTGTATTCCATCTGGTGAGGTCCATATGTATAATCATCTCTTATGCTGTTTTAAGGTATTTGAAATGAACAAATGATTGGTTTTGCACAATTCTCTTCTGCGATCTCCAGCATCTTTTCTATCACCAATGCCATGTTTTCTAACTACTGATTCTTCCTCTTTGTTTCCAACCTTTGCATTCCAGTCAATACATCTTGATTGCAGTTTGATCAATTTCAGATTGAAGAAGTTGGTAGAATTTTTTTATGTCATCCCCACTGGCTTTATTGGTTGGTGCATAAATTTGAATAATAGTTGTATTAACTGGTCTTATTTGTAGGTGCATGGGTATTATTCTATCACAGACAGCGTTGTACCTCATGACTGATCTGGATACGTTCCTTTTGACAATGAATGCAATACAATTCTTCTTCAATTAGTCATTCCGAGCATAGTAAACTATGTGGTTGTCAGATTCAAAATGGCCACTACCAGTCCATTTCAGCTCATTAATGCCTAAGATACCGATGTTTATGCGTTCCATTAATTTTTGACAATTTCCAATTTTCCTAGATTCATAACTTTGTACATTCCCTGTTCCAATTATTAATGGATGTTTACAGCTGTTTCTCTTCATTTTGAGTTGTGCCCCGTCAACAAATGAAGGTCCTGTGGACTTTACTCCCATGTGCTTTACTCCATTCGTGTCATCATGGTCAACTCTACTTTGAGGAGGCAGCTCTTCCCCAGTCGCGTTTTGAGTGCCTTCCAAGCTGAGGGGCTCATTTTCTGGCACTATATCTGACAGTGTTTCTCTGTTCTTCATAAGGTTTTCAGTGACTAAATATTCTAAAGTAGTTCATCACTCCTTCTTCCTAGTCTGCCTTCATCTGGAAGCTCATCTGAAACCTGTCCACCATGGGTGCCCCTGCTGATATGTAAAATACCCGTGGCATAGCTTCCAGAATCACAGCAACTCACAAGCCACCACAGTATGACAAACTGGCAGATGAGTGCTGGGGTAGGTGTTATAGTAACAGATAATACTTATGTTTTTTGAGAGTCTTAAGTTTGCTGCCTTGGTCTGTTGCAAGGGCAAAAGTAGACAGGAAGCCAGGTCTCAGAGCATGCTCTGGAGCATTATCATTGGCCACTTTAATAGCAGACACCCTGTCTCTATCAGACACAACAATAGCATGGAGTCTTTCAACACTGGGTAAGTTTTTATACAGGCATCTCTCTAGGTCATCTGCCAGGATGAACCCCTTTCTCCTGTAGGTTCAGTCTCCACACCTGGGTTTTTGCTCCTGGGGATGGCTGGGTTCTCACTGCTGTCACTTCAGGGACAGTATCAGAAGCAGGTTCCTCTGAAAGCAGCCAATATGTGATTTGTCCACTTTTTAATTTTGAGTCCTGGTGTGGTGCTGCAGGTTAATGCGCTAGAATGTGAGATTGGTTTGAACTGTAGGATCAGCAATTCATGCTCACCAGCCACTCCTAGGAAACCTTATACAGGGTTGGCACTTAACAACAACAATTTACGTAGAATCTGTTATTATATTTATAATAAATCTTAATGTCAAAATTAAGGTGGTACTGATGATACAAGTAAAATTTTATTGTAAATTATTAATGGCTATTCTAAGTTATTTTAGCATTCATAAGAACTACAGCTATAAAGTCATATGGGGGAGAAAGTTAAAGACTGATGTGTTAGTACCAAGTTTTCATCATTGTTGGAACAGTAACTCAAACCCAACATGTTGACAGTTGGACCCATTTGTCAATAAGGTGTGACAATTTAATAAATATTAGTAAAGTATCAGCAATGAAAGCAAACATTTAGAGAGCTCGCAAGTGAAGGTTATATGAGTAAGTTTAGTGGGAATAGTTATAAAAGCTGTGCCCAGTAGCACAACTGCCTGGAAATGGAATGGGTCGACCTCAGGATTGATTAGTTTTTTTGTGATTGAAGGTTTGAATTAGTTGGTTGTGCAGTATTCATCTTTGTTTTGACCAGAAAATTTTCTTTTGACCCTAAAATTTTCAAAGTGTCAACCATTTTGTTGTTGATTTTGAGGTGGTTTTTTTCTTATTCCAGTGGTTAAGACTTTACCTCACCTTTATATAACAAAAACAGCAATGAAAAATAAAAACACCTTGAGAACATCAAACTAGTTGTTAATAATTTAAAATACAAGTTAATCATCAAGAAATACTATTACATTAAATATTCAGAGGACAGTGTTCTTTATTTTCTTTTTCTTCTCCCTCTAGTGGGCAGGAAATATTTTAAAAATGAAACATTGACAGGTTTTTTAGGTTTGAATAGAAAGCAGTACACAGTCTCATCTTGTTATAAATTTATTCATATTTCAGAATCATTAAAGAAAATGCTTTCTTTCTTCCTAGACATAATAATGGACCCCTGAATGTTGAAGATGTTCTTACCAGCTTTGACAATACAGGAAATGTTTGTAAGTTATATGCTTAGTATAGAACAATATATTAATATTTTAAAGAGTGAATTTAGAGTTTTTCTCACTTATGCTTATTATACTTATCGATGTATATATATGTTAAGTATTAATATATGTACTTATTTTAGAAACTTTTATCTTTAGTTGCAAAATACGACACACCCACTAAATGGAATCAGTTTTTACAGCTTGCAGTTTGGGAGGTGAGATGGAACACTGGGCTCCTCAGTGCGTCCTTTTTGTCATTCGTTCCCATTTTGATGGCAGTTCACCCTGCAGGGGCTCTGTCCTCTTCTACTTTGCTATGTTTTGGATGCTACTTTTCAGATCCCTGCTTCTTCCCTCTTTCACTACAGAATACTTCCAGAACATATTTCTTTGATGCTAATATGCATTAGCTTTTGTTTTATACAGCATTGTAATATTATAATATTTATTGACTTTTCATCTAAGTTGATTAAGTGGTGATAGATTGTTGTGTATTTGTTTGGTTTTTAATGGTGGTTTATTGCTTAGTTCAGTTCAACCAATGCTTTGTTTTGTTTCCCCTAACTTTTTATTGTGAATTGAGTGAAGGTTTACAGAGCAGATCATGAGTTTTATGCTCACTGTTTCATCTCTATGACTGTATACAACAGTTAGCCTATTTCCTGCCTGTGGTTCCTATTTCCATTCCACCCTTCTTCCCATCCATTCTGGACTTTGTCTTTAAGTAAATTCTGCCATTTCAGTCTTGAATGGTTGACTGTCCCATGGTGAACATACCTCACCAGTGTTGTTGTCCCATCTAGCTATATACCTATTTGTCGCTTAGCTGAAAATTGGGCCATGAGGAACCTGCAGAGTCGCTGAGGGTCGTAGACTTAGGTTCCTCCAGTCTCTTTCTGACCAGTAAGCCCAACCCTTTTTGTAATTCTGAGTTTTCTCACTTTGTCTCCCACTCTATCCAGGACTTTCGAATGTGATCACTTTCAGAGCAGTTGCTAGTGATAACCAGGTACCATCTAGGTCTTCTGGTCTCAGAGTTGTGGAGATGGATGGTCACATGTTCCAGTAATCCATTTTTGAGTGTTGTGCCAGAAACAGAGATTCATGCTGCCAGTCAACTTAGACAAATCAGTTAACTATAAAATAATGTTATATGATGAAAGAAATCTGCTTTATGTTACTGAGTTGAATGACATACCATATAGGAGCTGTGTACTTCTTCATATTTGGTTGCATAAGATATTCCTCTTAAGAGAACTGCTGACCTGTGGTTGGCTGCACAATGAGGTTGCGCTACTGGTACTTCCTAGGATGGGGTGTTGTTGTTGTTAAGTGACATTGGTTCCAACTCATAATGACCCTGTATAGTGTTGTCAAGGAGCAGCTTGTGAGCTTGAATTGCTGACTTTGCGGTTCAGTCTGACCTTGTAGTCCAGAGGGGTGCTAATGGTGATGGAGGACACATTCTACTTGAGTTCTGGAGTAGTTGTTAATATCGTTAAGTCAGGCCTATGCTTGAATGATTTAGGAATATGACCCTGAAATGTAAAATGTAGAACTCAGTGATATAAAAATCAAACATTGCTCCCAGTGGCTCAGTATGAAATAGGGCCACTAGCTGGCAGCATTATGTAAAATAAAAATATTTTCTTAAATGTCTAAATTATTGTCTTAAACACGAATAACTATTGTATATCCATCTTTAACTCATCAACTGCTTGTTGTTGCATTAACAAATGAACAAGTTGCGAATTCAGAGTTTTTTTGTTTTGTTTATTTCCATAGCTGTCTATTGCTTGGTAGAAAGGTTTGAGATTTTGGAATGAGACACACCTACATTTGAATCTGTCTCTAAAATTCATCTTATGCAATTTAGATCATTTCCATGATTCTCAATATAGTTCTTGCTTAGGACTGGGTATAATGTCTATGAGGTGTGTAGCAAGCTGCATGCTTCATACCTGACACTGAGTAGATAGAAGCTCTTTATTAATTATTACTGGTGATGAGAAACCCTAAAACTTCTTTCAGGTTTTTTCTAAGGAAGAAAGGAATATTATTAAGGATTATTCTGATGTTTCAAAATATTTTATTTAAGCCAGTTAAAACAAGGTAGGAAAAGTACTTAAGGTCAGATTGCCAAGATAGCAATTTCTTAAACTGTCTTAATGTAAGTGTGGCATTAAAAATCTGAATATATTGCCAAGTTGTAGAAGTCAGGATAAAAATAAGACCTTTTAAGACATGTTGCTTGATATAATTCTTACATTTTCTTGATATTTTAAAAGAAAACTGTATACTGATTCTCATTTAGTTATAAATTGGTAAAGCTCTACTCCAATAATGTAAATATCTTTTATATAATCTATGCCCAGGCATAATAATGATCTAGTCTGAAAGTGATTTTTCACTTGATGTGTCAAGTGTTTGATATGATGCGAATCATGGTCCTAGATGAAGTTTGTGACGAGAAAACCCAGCAGAGGGCACCACAGCCATTATTCTATCTCAAAGCACAATTGGAATAAATAACTGGCGATGTGATTGCAAGCTTTCACCATGTGAATATATAAATATAAAGATGTGTGTTTACACAGTTGCATTTGATTCATCTCTATTGTATTTTTATTCATTTCTAATGTATTTAACTGTTTATTAATATGAAGGATAGATTTTTCTGGATGATTTTTGAGCCTCACTTAGGTTGGTTTTAATATCAATTTAGTTTTTGTAATTCTTGTTTTAAATTAAGGAATACTTTGGTCTTATTACCCTTGATGGCATGTGAAAGTTCTATACTTCAGTGTTGTTGTTGTGAAGTGCTGTGGAGTAGGTTCCTACGCATAGCAACCATGTATAGGGGTTCTGGGGAGCTACTAGTGGGTTTGAACCGCCAACCTTGTGGTTAGCAGTCCAGTGTTTATTTTACAGCACCACACCAGTACTAAATGGCCAGCTTGGTAATATATTGGCAGATATTTAGAACGAGGAACAAGTTTCTTTCATCTATTGAGCAAACTAATAGATGAAATTATCTCTGTTTTTCAGACTTTAGTTTCTAGGTTACGACAATTTCCTGATAATAGAAAATGACTTAATAAAAATATTTTATAGCTATAAAAACCTGACATATGAGTATGTATATATGTTGTTGTTGTTGTTAAGTGCCTTCAAGTTGGTTCCGACACATAGTGACTTGTAGGGTTTCCGAGGTGCGGCTGGTGAGTTCAAACCGACCTTACAGTCCAGTGTAGTATCCCGCCGCACAAAATAGTCACAGTTTAGTATAACTAATGATCTCAATTTTAAGTTAGTGTAAAAAATCAAGTAATGATTGTATTCATTGTAAATTTTCATTCTTCCTGAATTTCTTCATGTTTAAATCAAAATATATAGATAACTTTTTAAAATTTTGAGAACTAAATGGAACCTGTAGGTAGTTTAATTCCTGGTATAATGGAAAATAGTGCTTATATTTACTTTCATTGTTCAGAAGTTTTATGTGTCATTAAATGTATGCCCTGCAAAATATTTTATATTTTAAAAATATAATTCTTTCACTGGTAGAATTTTTTTTTTTTTGTATGTGTAGGAAAGAATTAAAATTATTTGTACACAGAGTTAATCATTTCTGTGTGATTCACTGAAGTACAATATATGACCACACTTCTTATATATTTATATTTGCTACCTGGAAAGCAAATTATTTAGAAAGCCAAGCCCTCTTTCTGCTTACCTGTTAGTAGGAATGGGTACTGAACTTTTAAATTGTTTCAACAACTTGTAAACCTACTTCTTTCTAAACTACCTATGCTGCTCTGTGGAGAGGTTGTGCTTGCTAGTGATCCCTCATGCTTGGAAACAAGATGCCGTCAGGCTTCCCAGGGAAGAGTACAGGATGTCATCCTTCCTGCAGGCGAGATGCTGGCTGCTTCTGTGTTTCTTGTAACACGTTACTCTGTGTGTATGGCAGCAGATCTCGGCTGCTTCTGTCTTTTCTGAGGGCAGAAAGAGCCTCCTTTCCAGCCAGTCTCCCTGACCTCTCAGTCAGAGAAGCCCCACTCCACCCTCCACCCCCACCCATGTCTCTTCCAAAGTCATTTCACCTTTTCCAAAGTTGTCTCTTTATCCAAATTTATTTTGTTTGTTTTTTTAAATGAGATTCTTCTCCTCAGGTCTTAGTTTATTCAAACTTGAGTACCATAGTCTACCGTATAGCGATTTGGCTTTTATAAAATCTGACCAGTGTTTGGGGTGTGAGAGCTTTGCACTTTTATAATGCAGCATGCTTTGTTTAATGGCATGAACAGATGAGTTCATGTTTCTTGTACAGTACCGTGGGATACGGCTTTAAAGGACAGGAAGTCAGCACTTCTCATCTCTCATTGCAGTAACCTAGTGTGAATCCGGATTCTTGACTGCTGTTGCTGTGTACATTTAGGGAATGTGTTGGTAAGACCCTTTGTGCCGTTCTTTTGAATTGTTTAATCGCCTGACTGGGCTATACAAGGGGACTTCAAAATTTGTATGGAAAAATTCTTTTATGCTTTATTTCCATTTTCCCATGAACTTTTTGAAGCCCCCTTGTTTGATGGGACCCTGTGATAGTCGGTGTCTCAAGGCCTCTTGGGAGCACATGTAGGCCCTCTGTGTGCCCTTTTATGTGGCACCGTGCTAGTTTCCTAGTGAAGCCTCTGGCTGGCCTGGAGTTGTAATGCCTGTAACTGTTCTTCTGCATCTCGATCCTTCCTAGTGGTCTGATAGCAAGACCTGTTTTGTGAGGTTTTCAAAGCTCATTTCTTTTGGGCTAGTCTTGGGCTAGTCATCAAATAGATATATTCCAAAAGAATATGGAAAGATTCTTATTAACATTAAAAATAATTTCACTTTTTAACTATATTTGGGAAATCTAAGACAGCAAGTAGGTTCCTTAGGCAATGCAGTTCAAAGTTTAGTTTTTTTGTTTCATATTGTTGTATCACATAATTAGGGTCCATGTGGTTATTGTT